CATATTTAATTAACAGGATGTCTACTCGTGTTTTGAATTACATTACACCCTTAGAATGTTTCAAATATTTTTTCCCGATTGTCCGGATTTTTTCACACTTACCTCTTAAAGTTTTTGGTTGCACGACTTATGTTTTTATTCCTCAAAAGGATCGGTCGAAACATGATCCTCGAGCTGAAAAATATGTTTTTGTTGGTTATGCAACAAATAAGAAATGATATAAATTTTTTCATCCATTAACTTGCAAAATTATTGTTACTATGGATGTTGTGTTTCTTGAAAATCAGCCCTATTTTTGAAATAATTTTCTTCGGGGGAGAAACTAGATAAAGAAAATAGTTGGGATGTTCAGCATATTTTACCCAAAGTCATACCTCATAATCCTATTCACGCCAAGTATTGAGGAATCTTTGACGAGAGGGAGAAACGCTACCAAATAATTCTAAGGAATATAAGCCTAAGGTTATTGTTTATACAAGGAAGAAAATTCATTCAAAAGGTAGACAATCATCTATACCCGAAGCACCACTAAGCCAATCTAATGCTTCGAATTTAGATTCGAGTAATGTTGATTCTCTTCGACTTTCATCTCCTTTTATTGATTCTCCTCATATTCCTAATACTTTTATTGAAACAAAATCTAATTATCTGGATATACCTATAGCCATTAGAAAAGAAACTTGTTCTTCTACTAATCATCCCATTGTAAAGTATCTCGTCATATGATAGGCTCTCTTACAAACATAAGGCATTTATATAAAAAATTTCTAACTTGTTTATCCCGAGAAACATTCAAGAAGCATTTGATGATCCAAAGTGGAAATAAGCAATTTTGATGAGATTGATGCACTAAAAAAGAATGGGACTTGGGAGAATGTGGGATTACAAAAAGATAAAAAAAAATAGTGAGGTGTAAATGGGTGTTTATCGTAAAACACAAGACAAATGAAAGTGTAGAAAGATACAAAGCAAGACTTATTGCTAAAGGGTTTGCTCAAACTTATGGTATTGATTACCAAGAAATTTTTGCTTCAATAGCAAAAATTAACTCCATTCGTGTGTTATTATCTCTTTCAGCCTAATTTTAATCGGCCTCTACAACAACTAGACGTAAAGAATGCTTTTTTGAATGGTGACTTGGAAGAAGAAGTATTCGTGTGTCCTTCTCTAGGTTTTGAAAGTACTATTGGTCAAAATAAAGTGTGCAAACTTAAGAAGTCTTTGTATGGTCTTAAATAGTCTCATAGATAGTGGTTTGAACATTTTCGGAAGGCAGTAAAGGGCTATGGATATCGCCAAAGTCAAACTGATCATACTATGTTCTATAAACATTCTGATAAGGGCAAGATTGTAATTTTAATTATATATGTTGATGATATGATTTTGACAAGTGATGATCTTGATGAATTATCAATGCTAAAGAAAAGATTGGCTGAGGAGTTTGAAATTAAAGACCTAGGAGTGTTAAAATACTTTCTAGGTATGGAGTTTGCAAGATCAAGAGAATGTATGATTGTAAATTAAAGAAAATATATTCTTGATTTACTTAATGAAACTTGCCTTTTGGGATGTAAAGCGATCGAGACTTCAATTGAAGCTAATTTGAAGCCGAGCCTAGCTATTGCTAAAAATGTGATTGAAAGAGAAAAATTTCAACATCTAGTTGGTAAGCTTATTTACTTATCACACACTCATCCCGATATTGCATTTACTATAAGCATGGTAAGTCAATTTATGCATGTTCGGGCAAAGAACACTTTGATGTCGTATACGTAATACTACGGTATCTTAAAGGGACAACTCGAAAAGAGGTCGATGTTTAGAAAAGCTGATAATGTTCAAATAGAAGTTTACACCGATGCTGATTGGGTAGGAAGCATGGCTGATTGATGATCAACATTAGGTTATTGCACTTTTGTTGGTGAAAATTTAATCACTTGGCGAAGTAAAAAGCAAAGTGTTGTAGCACGGAGTAGTGCTGAGGCTGAATTTAGATCTATGGCTCATGGCATTTGTGAGATAATATGGATTAAGAGATTGCTAGAAGATTTGCAGCTCTTATTTTTACTTCCTATGAAAGTGTATTGTGACAATGAAGTTGCAATTTCAATTGCTCATAATCCAGTTCTTCATGATAGGACGAAGCATGTTGAAGTTGATAGACATTTTATCAAAGAAAAACTTGAGAATGGTTTAATCTGTGTTCCTTACATACCTACGGATCAACAGGTAGTTGATATTCTCACCAAAGGATTGCCTAAAACTCAGTTTGATTATCTTGTAAGCAAGCTGGCCATGGAAGACATTTACAATCCAGCTTGAGGGGGTGTTAAAAGAAAATAATTAAGAATAGAGTAATTTATGATGTAAATATAGAAAGTTTGTATATTACCTAAGTTAGGGAATTTGTCTCTTTGTATAGCTAATACTTCCTAAATAGGCTAGTCTATTTACTATATATGTAGGTTATAACACTTTGAGTCCGATACGAAAAATACAACTATTATTCTCTTCTTTCATATTTTTTTACAGTTAGACTAGATCCCGTGATAGTGATTAAATAAGCGATCAAGAGGGGTCAAAGTCAAGGGTGGTTCTAAAGTCTACTTGAACCAAAAATCAAAAGGCATCTAAATGATCAAGATAAAAATATCAAATTGAGGATTTTATCACTAAGAATATATAAGATCTTATTATTCCCATTGGCCAAGGCATGATTAATTGTGAGGGAGTCAATATGTTCAAAATCATAGTATTGTTTAAAGTTAACCCCACAATAATGATTTTGGCTGAAACTCTATCTTTGAACTTTTGTAGAAGAAAAGATGAGGGTTATCTAAGGTGTTGTGTTCAACTATTATTTGTTTGGACTATGAGTCATATGGTGAGTGGAAAGACAACTAGAGTCTTTAAAGCACCATGACACTTGTATTTAAAACTAGAGAATTTTACCGACCATCCTTTTAACAAGTTGGACAAGGTTACTTGGGCTAACATGTTTCTCATTTTAGAAAAATCCGAGTTCATTAAAGAGCATACTATGTATTCTTCCATTCATACTTGACGTACTATGTTAGGTTTTTTGGGAACCTTTGATTGAACCTCGATGTTGCATTAGTTGTTGCTCGAACATATTTCTAAGATAGTTGAGGTTTGAACAATTCTCTCCAAGAAATACCAAACTAGCCAAGTTCTATGAAGACTTTAAAACCTCTAAAAAGTTTTTAGAGCAAGCCATGAAAGCACGGGATCGGATAGGTGTCGTTACCACTTCAAGAAAAGTTGATGAGCAAACTTTTCTTAGTTATTCAAAATGGTAACAATCTAGGTGAAAAGGATACCAAGTCCTACCTTTTAAGAGTCCAACAAGACCGATGAGTGAGACCATAAAGGATAATCGAGAAGAGATTAAGGCTCGATATGAGGATTATCATGATGACTCGAATGCCAAACCGAAAGAATTAGAGATCAAGAAAAGAAAGTAAGAGAAAAACCTTTAGACCAAAGAGAAAATTATGAGCACTTCGAAAAAGAGGAAGAGACCCGCATGGTTGATTTCAACCGAACGAAGAGGTTTTGAGACATTTGAGGCAAAAACATCACAAGTTAGCTCTAGATAATGAAAAGCAAGCTAATTTGATTATCGAATTAGCCATCGACAAAAGATAATTCAAGTTAGATTTGAAAGCAGATCACAACCAAAAAAACAAAGTTTGGAAAGAATCAAAACTATTTTGTATGCCCAAATCTGAAAACATGCTAAATTGATCACACTATTAGACACACCTATTTCCTTACGCAACAAACAAACCTAAATCTTATCAATCACAATATTTGAGTGTGGTGATTCACCCTCTTTTTGCTAATTTGTGCATCATATCAACTCGATTTTGGAAACTTATTCTTTTCCTTATTTTATTTTTACTTTAAACAAAATAAAACCAAGTCTTAGATCACCACATATTTTGCAAAGTAAACCAACCTATGACTTAGGCACATCGGTTTTGTTTGCACACACAAAACCCTAGTTTTGATTGATTTTGATGAAATTTAAAACTTCACTGTAACTTTAGCTAAATAGTTTAGCTTTAGGTGATTTTAACAAAATTTAAAACTCCACTGCACCATTTACTAATGATGATTGATAGCACCACCTTGAGTAATTGATTTTAAATATACAAAAAACATGTAGACCTAAAATAAACAAAAGGAATCACACAAATAATTGAAGATATTTCTCAAAAATTTTATTGAAAAATTATCAAAAGTGGTTCTCTCCACAGCACAGGGTTCTTATATACTAGTAAAAAATTAGCTAGGTCTAAAAGAAAAACTTGTCTTATTAAATTAGAAAAACTTTAGCTTAATCCGAATAGAAAGCCTAAGTCCATTCAACTAAAATAGCTTAATCCAAACCTAAACAAACAAAGATCCTACACAAAAAGAATACTAAACTGAAAAAAAAAATAGAAAATAAATCCTTACAAAAATAAAAACACCTAATTACTAATAACTAAAACTATTTCTTATTATTTCCCATCTATGCACCACTATGTTACATGCCGCGTACCAAACCAGGTCCTAAGTGTCTAATGGGTTCTGCAATTTTTATTTACATATATTAAAACTTTCAGCTAATGAGAATAGAAGGGCAATTTAGGCATTTGATATTAAAAAAAAAAAAAACAGACAGGCTGTGCAAATAATTACAGAGGGTCTGCAAATATAGCCCCTCCCTTGAAAACACATCTCTGAAGTCTGAACGAATGAGAAATTTGATTAACCACTCTGAGTATTGTGCACAGTACACAAATGAGATAGAAAGACGCTAGTCACAAATCAGAGCTAGACAAGCAACTATGAATCAGACTCCAAAACAACCAACCAAAAAAAAAAAAATAGAGGAAAGAAGCTCAAGGCAAAACCCCCTGTTCTCCAGGTCCAATCTATCTAGGCAAAGTAACAGATAATTCTATACATCAGTATGAAGCAAAGATACACTACCGGCCAAACCAACCTCCTCTCTGGGGCTGAACTTCTCCATCATTCGTAAGCTTATCCAACACTACATTCAGGTCAACTGACTGACCATTCTCTGTCAGCTTTCGCACTGTGGCTCGAACAAGTTCCCTTGGAAATCCCATGCTTGTCACTTTGTCAATAACATCATCAAGGGCAACCCTGTTCCCAGTTCCAGAAGAACCTGACCCACCACCAATCCCAGAAGCAGTAGGCAATGCCTGTGGTAATATCCGAGCAGTTGGAAGCTGGGGATATCCACTTCCACCACTCTGAGACACAACAGGTTGCTGCTGTTTCATTGTGGGTTTGCTACCATACAGGGTAGGTGATCCGCCATAAGGATATGGTTCAGTAGTCCCAGAAGGTGGCCCGTATCCAGCGGAAAACCCTGAACTGGGTCTACTTGTTGGTGGTTCATATATATTGGAAGGAGCTCCATAATATGACTGTGGAGGAGGAGCCCCACTTGGTGGCTGAGTGGATGGCGGAAGAAGGCTAGGTGGGTAGCTTTGAGGGGGAATGAAACAAGTCTCTTCAGGATGGTGAGTGAGTGGAGGCTGAGGTTGATGAGGATGAGGTGGCTGAGAATACTGTGGTTGAGGTGCATGATATGGTTGATGTGGTGGTGCTGCAGGAGAAGACTCTGGCTGCTGGGATGATGGTACCAAATATTGGGGATTCGGTGGTTCTTGAGTTTGAACAGGTGGAGAATAGTAAGGATCTTGCTGAGGGAGGGGAGAAATCTGGTTCTGTGGAAACTGATTTGGAAGTGGAGCAGGAGGGGACAGGTTCTGCTGGGGAATGGTAGGAGAGGCAGAAGAAGGAAGAGGAACAGAAGGGACTGAATGTGGAAAAGTGGGGGGAGGAAGTTGGTGAGATTGAGGAGCAGATGCTGCTTGCTGCACTGCATCCGTTTGCCCAGTTGTTTGAGTTTCCAATTGTTGCTGATCTGCCTGTGACACTTGAAGCTTAGTAAGCTGCAGCTGAGCCTCCAGCATTTCCTGCTTGTCCTTTAAACCCTGTACACCTGTTTGCACCTGAAAATAATTGAAGGAAGACATTAATTGGTGATCAATAAAGCAATAAAATCTAGTATCCATTTATGAACTGATTTCTACACAGAAAGTGGAAAACTGCTTTTGAGAGTTAGTGAAATTTTCAACATTTAATAAAATTTAATGGATAAAACTCCACTTATCAATTCTTCGAATTGTTTTACAGTATGAAGGCTAGTGAGAGAAAATGACAAGCTAGCCTCACTTAGGAGATGTTTGGTAAGAGAATAATGGCCTTAAGCACATAATAATTATGTGTTTGTTCTTAACAGTAGTGCAGCAAATTTCATGTGGTTAACAATTACCCCCAAAACAGTCCAAAAGGGGGGCAAATTTTACCCCCACGGATGGGGATTGTATTGACCTCCAACTTTAAACATTTTCTTACTTCCTCTCTCTTCCATTCTATATAGAAAAGTACAATTAAATAATCTGTCATCAATAATATGTTAATCAATTTTCTCATTTCTTCGGTAACAATTTACCTTCAATATGTAGAGACACCAAAAATTTTGTACCAAACGAAACCTTAGGTTGGAAAGTTTACCAATAAATCTTATAGCAGGTTTTCATGTAAATTCTAGTATGCTGATGGCAGACTGCCTCACAAAGTGTCTGACTGTAACTGTGACTATGTTTTGTTTTTTGGCATAGGAAATTCTTAATTCAAGCAAAAACCAGAACTGTTAACCATCGAATATCACATTGTACAGGTCTAGAAGCCTATCAGTGTCAGTGAATGGGACTGGGTTTCTACTGAGTTGGAATCAATAAAAAATGATTAAAGAGGTTGGGGTTTTTTTTTTTTTTCCTCATAAATCCAAAAAAAGAATAATGATATGCTTTTGTGTACCTTCAGTATTATTTTCATTTTGTAGGAGCAAAACAGGAGACCCCGGAGGGGAAAGAGTCCATTTAAAACTCCTTGAAATAATTTTAAGTGAAGATTATTTACAAAGAGTTGTTCTAAAGATCATAGACTATTTACAACTAAACTAATTTCAACAGAAAACTCAAAAGTGGCACCCTTGTCAACGTAATTAACTAAAAAAGACAGCAAAAGTTTATAACTAAAAGCATTAGATTTTCCTCAAGGATTAAGAATTTTTCTACGAGATGAAATTGTACTAAAAACCTCCAGCCACTTCAGCAAAGCCTGTGGAGTGAACAGCTAGTGAGGTTAAGTCATGACAAATAAAGTAAGATGACAGAGTTGAGCCCCTTTTTCATTAGGGAAGGGAAAAAAATACAGGAACAATGCTATATTTTAAGAACAGGTTCTCCTACTTTGTTCTTATACACTCACAATAGAACATGCGATACATATTATAAAAATCATCAATGATTCGTTCATGTAAGTGTTTGAGAACCTATTCTTAAATTATAAAATTATTCGGAGAATGAAACAAGTGGCAAAGAACCACTGAAGTTACAGTACACAAGACGATTTGCAAAAGCACGGTAATAATTTTAGAGCTAGATATCCCAAATCTATGCAAAGATTGGATCGATAACCTCACATGAAGAGTTAAAGCTAGCTGCTGAAGTGGTTTTTGTAATTGTTTAGGACATGAAACATGAACTCGGCTGTCATTGTTTTATAGGTTTGGTATATGTTTGGCTTGACATGTGATTTCGTTTTTTGAGAAAAGCTAGATATGTTATGCAAGAAAAATTGCTGCCATTTCGGTAAATTGAACAAAAAAAATGGGTGTGATTTAGTAGCTGCTATTTGAATCCTTGTTGTTTGGCTGAATATGAGTGATATATTGGACTTGACCCTTTTTTTTCCCCTAACAAGAAGCAGATTCAGTTCTTCTTTTAAAAACTAAACAAAAAAGAAGAGTTAAAGCTTGTTATGTTGCATACTATTTGACATATTTTGATGATTTGGCCCCACGTCCCTGAATGCTTCAATTATTTTTATATATCAAACTCCAATAACTGGAACAGAAAAAGAAACAAGAAGGCATGTGCTGACTTTCTGAAAATAATTTTCCCATTTCATCGGTTAAATCATTTATCTAAGAAAGTGAGTTATTAACTAATAATTTTCTAAAATAGAAATTTCACTAATATGCTTCTGCTCTCTGTTTATTGATATTGGTGGTGTGTCGACCAAGGAAATTGCATAGATGGACAACCCTAGTCCTTGTGACACTATTAATACTATTCATCCTATCCTATTTGGATCCCACACTTTACAAGCTAAATCTTAACAAACAGTTGTCGTTAGGTAACCAAGAGATTAAGAGTAAGCAAAATAGATGATTGCTCTTCCAATAATTAAGAAACCAATGTAAGTTAAGAGAAATTTCTTCTGATATACATTCAATGCTTGTATCAGAAGTTTGTCTGTTGTTACTATGAAAAGAGATGCTATTGAAGTAGGTTCAATTTACTGGATTCGCGCCTCCCACCCCTGTCTCCAACACCCACACCAGATATCTGTCTGTATTTTGTTTAGAATTCTTAATCACTTATCCTGATTGAAATCTAGGAGTTTCAATGAGAGTTCTCGGAAAGGAACTTGGCTATTTAAGCTTATAGTTTTCCCTTTTTCATTTCTTCACCATATCATCCACATTGATTTGCTGATTCAGTAACCGAGCTTATATTTGTCCAATTCTGGTCAAAGTCCGATTCACACAAGAAAAGGAGGGAAGAGACAGAGCTAAGTTACAGATTAAAAAAAAGAAAAAAAAAAGATCACTAGAAATGGGGATGTTAACAGTGTTGAGTTGGGAGGGTTTTGAAAAGCATGGCTCATTCTATATATATTCATTCCATAAGCCTGTAATAAAAGTGAGTTTGACTAGATATCATAGAACATGTTTTTAAACATGGGGAGCATATTGAAGGGAGAGGAAAGAAAGAAGGAAGGTACCTCCCTAAGAATGTTGTGGAGCTGTCTCATACTCCCATCAGTCCTCTCATGATTGTTCCCAACAGACAGTTTCAAATCATCTACAGAATTCTCGAGGTGGCGGGTTCTGCTCTCCAACTGTGTTAGTCGCGCACTAACACCTTCTAAAACATGCAGCAAATTATCAGAATACTTCTTCATTGTTCTATCAATTTCAGACATAATCGCAGCAGCATCAAAAGCATTCTGATCCTTGTCCATAATGACTTTCGCTGGTTCCCTAGAGTCCAGAGAAGCATAACTCTGGACAGAAAGAAACAACAAACACCATGTGAATTCTCAAGAAAGCAGAAGAAACCCAATTTTTATATTTTATTTTTAACTAAAAACTTCAACTAGTTTTAGCAAAATTCCAATCCCTAAGGGGGAGGGGGCCAAAAAAATAAAAAATAGTTACATGGCAAAGCAAACACAAATGAGATTTCAATATCATAAGCCACCAAACAGCGGTCAAAATCAAAATCCCAAAAACAGATGGAAGCTTACTCTTAGAGGAGAGGCGGGGGTGGAATTGGACTTAGAATCAGCGGGAGAGTTCCAAACTATAGCCGCGGTGGGATCGGCGATAGGGCGAATAGGCTGGAAATCATAGCTAGCAACGATCTCTTCCCTCTTAATTCCATCATCACCATTATCATTATTAGAATCGTCTTGTGGAGGAGGAGGATGATGATGATTCGTTAGATCAATGAAGTCTCTGTTGTTGCTGCTGCTGCTATCATTGATTTTTTTCGGCGAAGAACAACCTAAATCCAGCGATCGTGTTGTTGATGAGGATGATGTCAAATCCATTATCTGTTTGTCCATAAACTGCGAAGAATTCATTTCATCGATCGATCGACGATGGAATTAAAGTTCTGTTTTCTTGTGTTTGTGAAACAAGGAATGTAATGGATAAAAGTTCTAATTTTTGTTTTCTAATTGAGAAATACCAATTCACACTTCACTTGCCTTTCTTCCTTCCTCCTCCCTCCTCCTCATCTTCTGGTTGTTTCAAGTTTTATTGAGTTTGGGCTAGCTTCTTATGGACTTTCTAGATAACAGGCCCTCCTTTCCAACTTAAGTTTCTTCATTGTAATGGGCTCGGGCCCATATTGTTCTTTTATTGTAGGTCTCCCAAAGTTTTGCTCACACCCACACCATATATTTCCTATTAATGTTTTTGGTTCTAATTTCCTATATTGTTAATTAGCCCACGTTTTTCCTTTGATGTATATTTCCTATATTCTTATGTATTAATAATATTATATTTCCTATAGTATTTTTTGTTCTAATTTCCTATACTATTTTCTATATATTTAACTTTGATATTTTCAACTTCATATACTTTAAACTCGGATAGCCAAATATTGGATCACATCAATTAAGAAGCTGATGAGTTGTTTATTAACATGTTTCGGTATAATTTTTTTTATCAAATTTGTTTCTTTTAAATTTTTAAATTTTTTATTATTATTTAAGAAGATGAGTTGCATATTGTTTATCCTTTGTCTTTTGAGACGAAAAAATATGAATATTTTTGTCATGTGAGTGTTTTTCAGGGAAGAAAATTTCAGAAAAGTCAGAAACTCCAACACAAATAGTTGAACCTCCTCCTAATGCTCAAGCAGTGCCCAAGGGTGCAACTAATGAGATTCATTATTACAACGATAGAGCTACTGGTCAAGAAAAGGCTGAAGCATGGGAAAGGATCAATCGCGCTTTTAAAAATATGCGACAAAAGGTCCATTTAGAAAAGAACTGAAACCCTAGTTTGTGGCTACCATAATTACTAGCATTGCTCGTGCAATTATGCATGTATGCACATCCGTGGTAATAAAACTTCGACATATAGTGCTGTTTTTCTTTTTAGAATACTAAGCCATGGAACTCTCTCTCTCTCTTTCTCTCTATTTTTTTATTTTTTTTTATTTTTGGAGAAAGCTATAATTTAATTTATTATATTGATATAATGATTTTATGGCAAGATTCATGATTTAAGTTTGGGAGGCTTTTATTGTTGTACATAATTTATTTTGTGCGACTTGCTCATTCTATTATTTCTTGATCCTTTAAATTGTTTTAATTTGTTTTAATGTCATATATTATGTTTTTTATGTTAATGGAGTTCCTCTATTTTTCATCGGTTATGTTACTTGTTCCTCTATTATAATAGTGTTGATATGGCATGTTACACTCCTCAATGTGTCACACATGTCATACATAAAGTCTCAATTAAGAGATTTAATTAAAACAACTCATAGAGCACAATTACCAAATTATTATCATTATTACTTTTTTGTTTTTTGTTTTTTATTTTTTAAATTAATCATGGATGTGCAAAATGTGTCATATATGATAATCAATTCATAGGCTTTGAAGTGTTTTTTTAATATTATAATAAATTAAAAATAATAAAATAATACGTAAAAAAAGAAAAAAGAAAAAAAAGAATCTAATATAAAATTATGAAAACAAACATATGGTGATATGTAATATAGATCAGTCATAGACCTCTAGTTATTGGGTCTAATCCTTGTTTTCTAAAATAAAAACTATAGACTACACTACAATTTCTTATTTGATATAGACAATTAACTACTAGTTAATATTATTCTTGTTTTAACTTCAATTTTGACGAACATATTTATACTCTTTTTTTTAATTGAATATCATGTTTGTTTTATATGTATATTATTATTATTAAAGTATTACAATTAAAAAAATAAAAAATATTCTTTATAATTTTATTATGATGAGGTCTATATATAACACGTTTCATGGCATTCAAGAAGGGATATTAGAAAAACAATAACATGAAAATAAAAAAAATAAAAATTATTTCTTACACGAGTTTGAATTTGTTTGATTGAAACTTCATATTTTTTGAATTATTTTGATTTAGTCTTTTTGAAGTTTCTTACATGGCATGTATGTTATAACAAAAACAAAAAAAAACAAAAAAACAAAACAAAAACAAAATAAAATAAGAGTAAAAAATTCGATCAATATGAAAGAAAAATATAATATCTTAGTGGAAACAATTCAAAGATTACAAAGTCAAAACTCTTTAGTTTATTAATTAAACATCATTGAATCAAAATGATGATGAATAACTTGTTGATTGCTTCATAATTCAATTGCACTGATTATTCTCTTTGCATTCTTAACACGCAAATAAAATCAAATCGACATAAAAAGAAATTCTCTAAAGAAGGGATAGTAATTAGAAAGTCAAATTCCGGAGGTTGTGACGAAGAACAAGTGAGCACAAAGGAGTTTAGGAGATATGTGACTATTAAATTGATAATAGACATTGGATTAAGTTGTTAATTAAAAGGGACACGGGAGAGATTGCTATGAACATTTATTTTTAGGGTTTTGCACATATCAAGATCCCATACAATTTGAATCTTTTTATTGAGATCCTAAGTTCTTTTTTTTTTTTTCTAATTTAGGAGTTTTACTCTTATATTGTTGCTATTTTAGACCCTAATGTGTTACATAAGCACATATGACAAGCTCTAGACATTGGATTAAGTTGTGACGAAGAACAAATGAGCACAAAGGAGTTTAGGAGATATGTGATTATTAAATTGATAATAGACATTGGATTAGGTTGTTAATCAAGAAAGACACGAGAGAGATTGCTATGAACATTTATTTTTAGAGTTTTGCACATATCAAGATCCCGTATAATTTAAATTTTTTTATTGATAACCTAAGTTTTTTTCTATCTAATTTAGAAGTTTTACTCTTATATTGTTGTTATTTCAGGCCCTAATGTGTTACATAAGCACAAATGACAAACTTTAGCAAATGATAGCTTGCCATATGTCTTGATGGGCTTAGATTGGGTGATTGAATTGGTGACGTGGCAAGCTATCATTGGCTAGAGCACACGCATCATAAGTTGTCATTGGCTAGGATCTAAAACAACAATAATATAAGAGTACAACTCTTAAATTGGACAGAAAAAAAATTAATGTCTCGATCAAAAAAATCCGAATTATGCGGGGTCTAAATACGCATAAAACCTTTTTTTTTTTTTTTTTTTTTTTTTTTTTTTTGAATAGGAGAAGGGTAAGTTACATGTGTGAATAACATGACTTTTTATTAATCCATACTTACAAAAAAAAAAAAAATCAATCAAATATTCATCCATGTATTCTTGATGTTTTTAATATAGCTCATTTACTTTCTTTTTTTTTTATTTGGTTACTCTATTCTAAATATTTTTGTAATGTGACTCCTCCAACAAGATTTTGATTAATTTTTTGGCAATAAGTGACAAGTGGATTGCTATGTTAGATAATAGTGACACATGTAAAAAAATTAATTTCAAAAAATAATTTTTTTCCTATTTTTTAATTTCTTTTTTTTTTTTTGGAATTTAAAATTTTTTCGACACATGTTACTATTATCTAAAGTGCTAGTCCACTTGTCATTTATTGCTAGAAAATTTACCTAAATCCTATCAAATGTACTCGCATTAAAAAAATCTAAAGTAGAGGACTAAATAAATAAAAAGAAAGAATAAAACAGATCACATTAAAAAAATATAAAATACAAGGATGAAATATGCTATCAATCCAACAATAAACATGGACATAATTAATCGCATCCAATGGCTACTAATGATTCTGGGGTTTACTCTACATTTAGACTCTATACTCTTCGATCTTTTATTATTATTATTATTATTATTAAGACTTTTATTTATTTTTTTTTAACTCACATACTCTAGGCTCTTAGCAAAACTTATCTATTAGGATTTGAACATGTGACCTCTAGTGGTTACAAGTTCTTTGGTTTTTTTTTTTTTTTTTTTTTGACTTAATTGAGATCATCCACTCGTTAGAAATTTGTTGATTCAAACCCTTCTATTACAATGTTCTCAAAAAAGATTTCTTTTTACCCCAACTCTAAAAGATAGTGAGTTTATACCTAACAACGGTTTTCTTTTTTAATTTGATATGGACACAAAGAAGATTTTGAATTTTGTTGTTTAAAAATGTGTTAAGCATACTTGGGTTTGTTATGTGTTCTTGAAAGTGTGGTCTCGATTCGATAATGTCCCGACCTTTTGTTGTTTCACATAAAATGGCATTGACAAAATTGTTAGCTTAAATTGATTTTGCTATGGTTAATAAGAAACATCTTCTTTAATCATGCATTTGAATTGATTTTGTGTTTTTTGGTTTTATGGATTTAGGGATTTAAAGATTTAGCTTTTCTTGATAGAGAGAATGGGATTGAGAATGGAAAATAGAAAAAGAGAACGAAAAAAATTGATTTGAATTTGGAATATCTTTTCATTGTATTTTTAATATTAAGTATTAGTTTATTAATAAAAATATTTTTAAATATTTTTTTTCTAATTCAAATGAGAAACTATTATTTATGACCCACGTGTCACTCGGTTATTAGTTGTCTGTTAAATTTAACTTAGTACATCGGATACATAGTTGATAGCGTTATAATGAAGGATTTCAATCAATAAATTTTTAAAAATAAAAAATTTTAATCAAGTAAAAAAAAAAAAAGAAAGAAGCTCTTAATAAAAAAAATTAAAAGTACAAGGTCTGAATGTTGGATAAACTGAATGATTCTCAATAGTTACAAAATTTAATGATGTTGAATTTTCCTTCCAGAAGATATTCTTTTTTGTTTCTTTTCCTTTTTTCTTCGTTTCGAAGAAGTTGAGAAGAAACCCTCACAATCACCCTTGTATCTATGTCAATTCTCAACAAAGTGAAAAAATATTGGTTAAAATTTGCTTCGTGTTTGTAAAATTGTGTCAATTCAATCCAAGTGGACTAAATTGCACTAAATTGTTAGATGATTGCCAATTAGAACTTTTGAATATGTTTAGAAATTATAAATTTTGTTTTAGAAAATGTTTATTTAAAAAAAATATTGAGAAAAAATTATTTTAAAAAAAAAGCTTTAACTTTTGAAATTGTTTAATAAATAAAAACATCTTGAATTCTAATCTATTAAATGAAAAAATTTGAATTTTTCAGTCATTTAAATGTTTGAAATTATTTGAGAAATAAAAAATTAAAAATTTCCCAAATGTTTATTAAATTTTGAATTTTTTTTTCACAAAAATGGCTAAGAATCTTCTATTTTTATTACTTAGTTTTTTAAAATTTTAAATGTTAGGCACTTTCAATTTTTTTTTTTTTAAATGGTTAAGCATTTTCAAAAAATTTCAATCGTTGAACATGAAAAATAGAAAATTATCAAAGCGTCCATACTTTTTATTCCTTGCACATCTTTAAAAGTTTTGAGTTTTATTTCAACGTTGAGAGATATGTATTAGAGTGTATGTGCAACCGGATTTCAGATTGTAGGTTAGGACAAAAGAAAAGACAAAAATTATCCAACACCCATGATCAGCACCGATGAATAAGAAAAAGTAAAAGACTTCCCATCACTATTTAAAACTTAAAAAAAAAAAAAAAGAGAGAGAGAGGGTATCGTATCCTTTTATTTTGTATCAAATTTATGATTTCTATTAGTGCAAATTTAATTACCTCAATTTTTAATGTTCTCAAGTTCTTAAACCTTTTTTAAAAAATTTATTGATCAAGCATTGTCAAAAATATTTTTATTTCTTTAAATTTTTAAAAGTTTATTTCAAAAAAAAAAATTTAATTCCTCAAAGAATCCTTTTTTTCAAAAAAAATAAAAAATAAAAAAAATAAATAAACCTTAAATGTTTTTTTTATTTCTTACTTGTCTTTAATTGATAGCAAT